CAACTAATTTCCCCTCCTTGTAAGAGTAGAACAAAGGATAGGGCAGTCAATTTGATTTAAAGGATGCTCAGGATTCAGCAAGGGTCTCAGAACCTGGGGCTTCTACCTGAACCCTGAGTACAAAGCAATTTAACAGGTTACAATTACTATTCAAAATCCTTTTGACAATCAACTTTCAGAACCACCAAAATGAGCCACACGAAGGGAAGAGGAGAGGCTCCCACTATTATGTTCCATAGCCCTTTTAGAGAACGTGAATTTGTTCCTTTAGCCGCATACATGTGAATCCACAAGAAAGGCAATATTGTAGACCTCAAAGGACTGAGCATTGTTCAAAAAGGAATGCCCCATAAATGTTACCAGGGCAAAACTGGAAGAGTCTCCATTGTCACCCAGCATGTAGTGGGCATTTATAAACACACAAGTTAAGGGCAAGATCCTTGCCAGAGAATTGGTGTACGTACTGAGCACACTAAGCACTCTAAGAGCCCAGACAGCTTCCTGAAACGTGTGAAGGAAAACGATCAGAAAAAGAAGGAAGCCCCAGAGAAAAGTACCTGGGTTCAACTGAAGCCCTGCTGGCCACACCCAGAGATGCACACTGTGTGAGAACCAATGGAAAGGAGCTGCTGGAACCCATTCCCTCTGAATTCATGGCATGGTAAGTGTAAAAACATATAAATAAAAATAAAAGACTTCTTACCATGAAAAAAATCCTTATGACAGTCATTCAGGAGTTGCTATCTATGCAAGGTGACTATAAACTCAAAGTACAAGTGGGAGAAAGGGGACTTGGGGACAAATGGCAAGCTCTGCACATAACAGAGAATACTAATGGACTTTGGTGCCCATAAGCTACAGGGCAAATTTCAGGTACCAAAAAAAAAAAAGAATGATAATGTCTATGTTACTGTGAAACTTGGACTCCTACAGAGATCATGTTAGACTCCTTAAGTAGTTTCATCAGCATCATCTATGAGTCAAACTTATATTTAAATGGCAAAACAGGCCCATCAATAATTAGGCCTTGGAACACATCCAGATTAGCAGCATAAAATAAATGCTTGTTACAAAACAACTCTAGGGGCTGGGCTTACACAGCGGGGTAACCAATCAGGGCGGCCTGCACCACAGGGCAGAGGAAACACTTTAATGCCAGGGCATGACAAAACTTAATGATACAATAAAGCTGTAAGAACGTAAGAACAGAAACAGACCATTTCTCCGCAGCATATACAACAAAACAAAACAGAAATGGCAGGGAACCACAGAATGTAGTCTCACAGAGGGGCTTTGCTGCCTGTGTAGCTTTACAACCTCGCTTTACACGTGTGGAAACTAAGTCCCAGAAAAGCTGTCCGGTATGACGTAGGCTGGATTCTAGGCTCAACATCTCCACTCCAACCTCATTAGAACAGCTTCCTCTAAAAAAACACGTGGGGAGGGTTGCAGCATTGTCATTCTTAGTGTTGGCTCACACTTCAAAGGATCCAAAGATCTTGGGAATCTTTCTTCTTTACTCTCCAGGACTAAGAACTAAACAAAAGTAACATTCCAATAGATTCTCCAGAAAACCCAAAATTCTCAAAAGTAAATACAGGATGAGGACCCGTACAGAACCACTATAACATTACTGCAGAATAACAGTGATTCATTTTCAAATTCATTTCACATACACTTCTCCCCAAGCGCCACAGCTCAGGAGAGAAAGGAGTCTGAAATCCAGATCAGATCGATGGGACTGTGCCAGATCAGAAGAGCCTCAGACATGAAGCAAAGCAAACTTTATCTTCAGTTTGCAATATTCAGAAGAAAGGGGAATTTCCTGTAAGCCTTGGGGAACCTTTCCCAGAAGGTCTCAGAGTAGCTGAGATGAAAGATTCTGTGGGTCGTTACATCTATGAATTCAATTTCATCATTCTTAAAGGTCATCAGCTATGTTTAGATTTAGTTTTCCCCTTAAACTAAAGGGAAAACGTCATCCAGGGATCAGAATGAGGAAAAGCTGGGAGGAGGGCATGCTGGGGAAGCAGCACCCAACTTAGGTGAAGGATGGACTGTGGAAGGTCCTGTCTGACTTTCTGGAGCATCTGTACCCCAAGGCTCCACGACATTCTATCCAACCCTTTTCCAGGATTGATTCCTTTTGACGAGCCTACAGAAGCAATACACAACATTGTTTCCAAACCATACAACTTCAGAAGCTTATGACAGTTACTAAAAGTATGCTTTCTATTGGCATTAAACAAAACTCAGATTTATATAAAACTTCAGAGACTATCAAACTTTTAAATAGCCAATCCACATATTAATGACATCTCAGACCTAAATGCTTAAGCATCAAAAGGGAAAGTAGGAAACATCAAATTTTAGAACATACAAGTTCATTTTGTTTCAATATAAAAAACCCAATGTCATTAGTATCGAAAATGACTAAACGCTTTGTTTTTAAGTAGTAATACAGATTAGTCAAATTACTTTTTAAGTGGCCTTGAGACTGATAATTTTAGAAGACCCCCCCAAGAACATTCTACCACTTCAATAGCCAAATAAACATAAAACAATTAGTCACTGAAATAAAACACATACTGACTGATCCAGGTTTATCTGTAAAACTTCAAAAATATCTGCCCTACTTACAGCAAAAGATGGTTGGAAATGAGACAGTATGTGAAAGTACTTGATAAGCACTTAAAATCATAACATATTGTATATAAGTCAGTAAGTAGCAGAGATTACACAAAGAGTAGTTGAATATAAGTAATGCTGTAAGTGGGTATGGTAATTGAGTAGGAGACAAGGTGTCATTAACATGGCATCTGATTTTAGTTCAATCATTAAGTACCAGTAACCTCATCATAAGATAATTCACTAAGGCCCACTGAACCCCATTTTCTTACTTGGAAAGTAACAGAATTGGACTAGCAATCTTAAGTCCTTTTTGGCTCTGCTACTTTGTTTAGTAATATTTTACACCTAAATTACTGCTACTCTATAAATAAGTAGCATTTCACATAACTAAACATTCTCATTGTGCGCCACCACGTCACAGGTGGATACCACACCTTACCCAATTCAGCAGATATAGCAGTGAATGCTATGACCTTTTACAGATCTATGAGCAGACCTGCGGCACATTCAAAGCACTATTACATTCTCCTTCACAGGGTGGGTCAAAGATCAAATGAGATGAAGACATTTTATCCCTCATGTATCAGACTAGTGAGCCGAAGCCGAGATCGAGATGGTCATCTGCCAGGAATGCACAGCTGCAAGAGTAAAAGCTGGAAGGAGAAAGCAGGTCCCATGCTCTTCTCAATCAGGATGTAACTGAGCGTCTGAAATGGAAACATAACAGAGCCAACCTTCTAATATCCAATCAGCTGTGCTAGAAAAGCAGGCAGCCACTCATTTATCTTTGCTAGACCATTAGGCATTTTCTTTCTGGCTGTCAGGGACACAGCAATGAACAAAAGAAAAATCCCTGGCCTGACTGAGCTTACACTGTGGTTGGGAAAGATCAACAAGGTAAACTAGTAAGATATAGGGGATATTATAGTGGTAGGTACTATAGAGAAAAATAAAACATGAAAAGATAGAGAGTAGGTGTTTGGGGATTTACAATTTTCTTTTAAGCTGGCTGGATGCCACTTAAAGAACTACAACACTAATGCATCTAGAGTAGTTTTCCCAAGTATTTCTCCAAACAGGGAACACTTTGACACCAGGAAGACTCAGGCCTACTGATTCCGGTTTGAGATTCATTGCTCAAACCTCCAAACCGCCAGCTCTGAGCTGTCATATTGGTGATCTAAACCTCCTATTAACAAAGATTCCCACCACCACAACCCCACTTTTAAATCCACAGAGTGCAAATTGATTTACAAAAGAGAGATCCAGAAGTTACAAGAGCATTTGAACTACTTCTGAGCTAGGGCAGATGTAACCTAATGTTAAGGTCAAAATGTAGTTGGTATGCTGAGCTCTGCTAGGACTAAGCACTAAGAATGCGGTACACATCATTTTGCTTTTTCTGTCCTGTCAATTCTAGTGACATTGTCTACTATCAGCCTATATTTAACCAGCTTACTAGGCAGTTTCTCCAGCTTTTAGAATTTTTTTCTTTTATTAAAAGAGCAACCCGGTTTGCAAGAAAGTTGTTATAAGTTAATAGCCCCCTGCAAAATCTGATACACTTGGTTAAGCACTATCGCATCAACCTTTAACCAGGTGGGTTGAGATGACTACTAATCAGGTTAAGCTTTGTTTCACTGAAGTTTTAAAATGTTCTCCGAATCACTAAACTCTTCTGGTCCTCCAATTGTAACTGCATCCTGAGAATTATAGTAAGTCTTTTTTAAAATTCGGGACAACTTACTTCAACGTGTGTCTACAATGCACAGCCCTTCTTTTAAACGGAGTTCCCACAAGGGAGTGGAAAAGACACATTTGACAAGAACTTCGGCCTTGGGGTCGGATCGCCTATCCCAAGGAGAAGATACAATACAATAGGGTTTTCCCTCTTACCACACCGGACGGGAGGTTGTTTGGCCCCTCAGCGAGAGAAGCACTACCCGTCCGAACCCCGCCGACTGCGCATCGATTAGGAGGCGAACAGCCCGCAAACTTCAGCGGAGGGGGCGGCTCTTCTCGGGCGCGGCCCCGCCCTGCTCGCTCTTGCGGGTCCTGAGCAAGCCCTAGACGGCCCTTGGGGCCCCCGGGTCTCCGAGGCCTGGGCAAGCGTCAGGCTGTGGGAATCGGAGGAAAGAGGGCCGAGGGATTGCGGCCCGAGTCCGTGGTCAACTCCAGGGGCGCAAGGGTCCTGTGGGCCGGACTCCAGGGTGGGCGAAGCCACAGAAGCTGTCCTGGGAGCCCCGCAGGGATGTCGGCCAGCAGGGACCCAAGCGGCCGGGGGGTGGTAACAGGAACTCTGGTGCCACGCCCGGCCCGCCCCGCCCCCGGGCTCGGAGCGGCACAGTGCCGCCGGACCCCCTCCCCACCTGATGTACGGGCTGGCTGCCGCCAAGATGTTCTTCTGCACGGGGATCTCCTCCCCATCGAGGACCAGGTGCGCATCGCAGAAGCGGGACTCCTCGCGGAAAGAGCTGAGCGCTCGCAGCAGGCGCGCGGCGTGCTGCGGGTCGGACACCGCGCTACCCTCGGCCATCGCAGCGCCCGCTAGTCACCGGCCGGTCCCGCTCCCGACGCAGCCACGCCGGGCCCCTGGAGCCGTCCGCGTCCGACGCGCGGCCCCCCTGCACAGCCGGCGCGCGCGCGCGCCCGTTCGGCCCAACTATCAGTGATCCCAGAAGCGGAGCCCCCGAAACGCGCCTGCGCCATCCGCGGCGAGAGACGCTGGTACCTTTAAGGAGCCGCGGCATTACGTCATTCCTCCGCGACGCTTCCCCGCCCGCCGTCGCCGGAAGTGGCAAATCAGAAGCTTCGGTGGTCTGTCAGACCCTCCCGGCCCGCCCCGGCGCAGCCAGGGGCTGTCCACAGCTGGAGTGATTGCTGCGGAGTGGGAGGTGTACGGGCCGCCGCGTGGATAAGTCGGTGGTCTCCGGAGCTCCGAGTCTCGACTGTTCCACTCCCTTGCTATATGACCCTGGGTGCGGTGCCCATCCTCAATTTCTCCATCTGCAAATTGAAGATGCTGACTTCTCAGTGTTGTGGACTCACGTGAGATAACGCCTGTAAGCAAGGGCTCTATAGGTATAGCTTTTCTTAAGTATGAGAGAAAAACCGCTTCCCAGGTTATGGGCAGCGACGCGAACAAACAGGCTCTGGAAAGAGCATTTTTTCGGTTGCGGCCTGGGAACGAGATGGAGCAGATGAAGCTGGAGGAGTAAGTGGCAGATCTCAGATTTTTCAAGGCCTCCTTGGCTGTGGTAAAGGGGTTGGTCTTAATTGTGGTAAGTGTTAGGTGCCATGGAAGGGCTTTGAGTAGGGGTTTTTATGGAGATCACTCAGCCGCTGCAAGGAGAAGCGGGTGGGGAGGGTGCTAAAGACAGAATGATGCTTAAATATTGCAGTACTCGCCGGAAGAGAATGTTGGTCTGGATGGAAGGGTGATGATGGAGGTGGACAACAGTGGCTTTAAAAGAATAGACACAATGGTGAGGGGTGGGGGGAGTCCAGGATAATGTTCTGGGTTGAAGAAACTGCATGGATGTTGGTACCTTTGAGAGAGAGAAATAGGAAACGCTGAAGGGCTGGAAGGTAGAGGGGCCAGACGTGCAGTAGTGACGGGAAGCAACTCCGGGTCAGCCTGGCCTGCAGGGCAAGCCTTATGCCATCTGAGGTTTCCCGGGAGGTTGTCGAGAGCACATGGGGATGTGGGATGTAGCCACCGTATTTAGTACAAACAGGTACTCAATAGGCGTCTAAAGAAATAGCAGTTTTATGAGAACCAGGGCCCGGGAGAATGTGATCAGCATTCCAGATAAGGCAGAATGTCGCTTTCACTGGATCAGCTCAGTCTTCCTTCAGCCAAAGTCTCTGATAAGGTCTTGGATCTTTACCCTGAACCAGCCAAGGCTTTGGAGACACTGGCAAGAATCAGAGTATGTAACTCTGGTAGAGACACTGGCCGAATAGATGGGAAGAAGGATATTACCGGTGGGAAGTCCAGACATTTCTAGTCCCTTCTTCAACGGCAGCTCAGTATTTATGGGAGAAATGATAAAAAAATGTTTAGGTTTGGCTTCAAACAAAAGGAAGGGATGGAGGGAAGCGGATAGAGGTACAGGTGAATCAAGAGTGGCTCTGAATGACTAATTGTTAAAGCCAGGTTATGGGCACATGGAGATCTGTTGTACTAGTCTCCGTATTTTTGAATATGTTGTAAAATGTCATAAGTTAAAAAACAAGCAGCTCAAGTCTTTCTTCTCCATGACACCTGCCTGGTATCCAGGGAGCAGTACATGCTCCTTTCTCCAAGTTGTTGCTGTATTTTGAACATTTCTCTGGGAGTAAACTTACTGTAATGAGTTTATTTATTCATGTCATCTGCTAGTTTGCATATTTTAGTGTGTCTCCATTCCCAAGTGCCAAGCACAGAGCCTGGTAGTGCTCAGTGAGTGGTGGATGGACAGAGGGATTAAAAATGTTGTGGGCGCTCTCCCTCCTTGGAGCACACTTGCCCCTTTCACGTCCCCCTCTTCTTCCCCTGGGTGCATTGTCTTCGCCTTCCTGTCTCCTAGATTCCAAGGGCCCTTCTTTTACTTCCGTAACTTGTTTCCCGAGCCTATGCAGACCAGCTGGCTCACTTCTACTACCTCTGTACTTTCTAAATAAACTTGCTCTTATAATTTGAAAAATCAATTGTGACTATCAGGCACTTAATAAATGTGTTCAGCCAGGCTGGTGTGGCTCAGTGGATTGGGCACTGGCCTGCAGACCAAAAGGTTGCCAGTTCAATTCCCAGTTAGGACACATGCCTGGGTTGGGGGCCAGGTCCCCAACTGGGAGCATGTGAGAGGCAACTGTTTCACTCTTGCATAGTGATGTTTCCCTCCCTGTCCTGTCTCATTCCCTTCCCCTCTCTTTAAGGGTAAATAAAGAAAATCTTTCTTTAAAAAAATAAACTAAATAAATGTTTTCTGAATTTCAGTCTCTTTTTAGTTTGTGTTTTGTGATCTTTCTCAGCTGGGTTGTTGTTGGGGTCAACAAGGAGAGAGTTCTCTACACCTTGTGGACATTTGATAAATACTTATTGATTCATTGCTGGGAATGCTGGCCTACTCTTCACATGTCAGAGGTTTCAAAACAAAACAAAGAGCTCAAATAACAGAATCACCCTGAGATAACCAGTTATCCCAGAATGGAAGTGTTGCCTCAGCTGAATTAATTGAAGGTAAGTGGGGATTAGTCATCAGGCTCTTCCTGGTAGGGGTGAACCTTCTCTGCTGTTTTGACAGATGGAAGGAATGGCAGAACCTGGGCAGCGGGTTGTAAACAAACCAGCATCCCTCAGGGGACAGGTAGTTGCTGTCTTGAGAAGGTCACCAATACAACAGGCAGCTGATCAGCAGGACTTGCCTTCAGGACCACCTCACTGTTGGCAGTGGTCCCGACCAACCCGCCTGCCTGAATAACTCATGTTCATCCTTCAAAACGGAGCCCAAAGTGACCTTCAGGGTCACCTTCCCATGGCTGAGTCCCCATGTTGTGCCATACTCATGCCTTCTGTGCTGCACTGTAATTAAAGGGCTTAAAAGTTGGTTTGTGAGCTCCTCCAGGGCACTTAGAAGGTCCCCTGTGATGCCTTCACATAGTTAGAGGTAGCTGGTTGGGGAATTGAGCAGGGGAGATAGGATATAATATGGTGGGGGGAGGTGGGATCACAGGGAGCTGAAGGTCTCAAGTGGGAGGCGGCTCCTGAGCTAGCTGGTTGCACCAGTGGATAAGGGCCCAGTGGTGCCAAATCCAATGATTTTTCAAGAGATCTAAAAATTCAGATTCACATGTCAAATGTCCCAGCTTTTTTCTTTTAATTTTTAAATTTTACGTACAAAGAGCCATTCTGCAATAAGGTAGACAGACGTCTTGAATGACCTACTCACAGAAGTTCACTTAGTCCAGCTTCATCAAGTTTATATCCTTCGTGCACTGACGGAAACACTGGCGGCACCTACAAAGGCCGTGCTTCTGGATCAGGCCGTGCTTCTGGATCAGGCTGTGCTTCTGGATCAGGCCATACCAGTTTGAGCAGACACCACACGAGGAGAATTCGGGCCAAATTTTCTCGGATGGCTCCGGTAGAGCTGCTGGTGACCCATCTTGCTCTCTCTGCTGCAACCCGAATGTCCCAGTTTTCCAGCATGAGCCACTAATTCCATTTGAGAAATGAAGATGCAGCCTAAATCAGGCTTTAATTCATTTCCAGAGCTAAACAGAAACTCATCTTGGTTTATTGAGGAGGGAGTTAATCAAAAGTATGCTAGGCTCTCAATAAAAATTGTTGAGTCAAACTCAGGTGCCCCAAGAAAACTCATCTTTGTGCAACAGGGAAGGAAGAGGGTCCAAATGTGGGAAGACGGGGGCGGAACCTACCCTTCTGTCGGCTGTAGGAGCCACTTCTGATTGGGCAATGGACTGTTTTGCAGCCTCTCTTGATATTGCTCAAACTGAGTCTGCCTTGGTATTGTTTATGACCATCAGAATGGTATATTTGGTGCTGTTGTCTCTCTACATTCCATAGATACCAGCTATTGTGAAACATATAATCTAAGAGATCCGATATCTTCCCAGCAGTTTCAGTCTGTGATGACTATAACTGTTCCCTTCTGGTTTAGAGGCTAAATAGGCACCTGGAATAGGGCTTATTTTGGTCTGAAGACTAAAAAAGAATATTCACAAGACATTAACAGTAGTCATTTATTCAATAGATATTCAGCATCTACTATATGGTATATACTGCAGAGACAGTGATGGTGAAAACATAGTTACCTCCGTGGCATCTTGTAGAGGTTTTTTAGTCTGCTTTTTTGACCATGCGTCATTTTTTATGCTCAGAAAAACAGAAAGCAATTTCCACTTGCAAAAAGGAAAAAAAAATCAGCTTTACTTTGTTTTGAAAAGTGATCCTTCCAAGAGAAGAATCGCTTTGGGGCTTGGGACTTTATCTTTTCATAAATGTTAGGAGGATGAATGGGAATCCGGTAAAAGAACTAATACAAAAGGAAAAAATGAATAGTTTGAAAACTCTTTAGAAGTCATGTAATTCAATGGATTCATTTTATTCCAGAGAAAACTGAAGTAAGATGAGCAAACAGCTCGGTCAAGGTCATACATGTGACCTTGTCAGGCAGAACGGACAGGCCTAGAGTTTCTGCCTTCCAGTCCTGTGAGCTTTTCTATTACACCAAGTTGACTCAATTTGGTTGAGGCAGTCTCTTCTGATTCATTTTAAGGCACTCTTCAAATATTTCATTGCATAAATCTGTCATTTATCCAAATCTATATATAGCTCCTTTCCAAAAATCTATTCTCTTCCAAATTGCTGAGTCAGAGAACATCTCAGTATTTATAACTCTTGAGTGTTGCTTCTATATGTTTATACAGTATTCAGAAGTGTCTCAGAAACCAGTGAACTAATTAAGTTGTAATGAAGATAGTGACTGTTTCTGTCTAAATCCATGCTATACTCCTCAGCAACCAGCAGAGTGCCTGACATACAGTAGGTGCTCAAAAGTATTTGCCAAATGATTAAATGTTAATGGGTAGGAGAACTGGGATTTTCTGTCCATAAGGGATTACTTATGATATTGTTTTCTTTTTTTTTCCAGTTTCTACAGGTAACCCAGTTGGGATTTTGACAAGGATTATTTTTTTGTTTTTTAATTTTAATTG